TAAGAGGGATGCCATCGAGCCTGAAGGATGCGCGGGCTAGCAGGCAGGCACGCTGCTAGACCCCTGTGGCTGGTCGGCTGGTGGACTGCAGCTGGGGGCAATCCACCCAAGTCCCTTACGGGACTAGCATGATGGTTGGTGTCAACCATGCATGCAGGCGACTGGTCCCCTTGCGGGACTAGCATAATGGTTGGTGTCAACCATGCGTGTGGATGGCTGGTGTGCTGCAGCTAGAGCAGTCCACCTAAGTCCCCTTGAGGGACTAGCAGGATGTTGGGTGTCAATCATGCGTGCGGGCAGCCGATACTGATGCTAAGGGCCTGAACCCTAAAAACCGAGTCCCGTGAGACGAGATGAGCCTAAAGGCTCCGAGCTGACTGCTAACTAGCTTAATTAGGGTGCTTGCGTAAACTTGATACGGGAGCTTGCGTATCATACGGGTGGGCATGGTGTTGGGTTCTCACCATGCCAAGATGTAATAACATCAAGAGAACCGGGGCTGTGTGCCCCTACGAGATTCAAGGGTCGGGGGCTCGAAGTATTAAGCCTTACGGACAGAGCTGGGTGCTCATGGTCATCTGGAGAACCGTAGACCGATGTGCGATGAGAGATGGGTTCTTTTCTATAGAGTTCGGAATAAGCAACCCTACGGGGCCAAAAGCCAGAAAAGGCTCGTGGGCATGCGACTTGAAGGATCGGATTTGGTCGGTCCGCGAAGAAAAATGGACATGGTGAAAGCTGATCTTGACTATGAGTAATCTTGATGCTGCACGGACGCGTGGTATTTAGTAGGAGGAACGCGTGGACCGTGACACTGAGGTTGTAGCTTTGCTTCTCATATCTCTGCTTGAATATCAACTTCTGAGGCTCCACCCTCGCCTTTATACCATCCATGCCTGTCAGCTTTGATGAGCGAGCCATTTCAGTGTTGCCTACATTTGTTACAGTCCTTCGAAATTCTTGCACAACTTTTTCATTTGAAGTTGAATGCTCATCATAAAAGAAAGCTATGCAAGATGGGTAATTAAGATCCAGAGACCGACTCGTGCAGTTTTAACTTGATCTTGCAAAGATTTGAATTTGTGTAGATGTGTAGTTCATTGCAAGAAGCTTTACGTAGTTTTCAGGTGTTGCATTTTCCGAACTCAAAATTCTATCAAATTCACGATCTGTAAAACCAGCTTTCACTGTTAACATCCATGGTGATCCATTGATTAAAGTCCAATACAAAGGCCCATCATTTCCAGCTGTTGCTCCTATGAACACACCCTTGTCCATAGCAGCAAGAGTAGCCACTGCTATTGGATCATCTTCCAAAAAATAGTCATCACACTTGAGCCCAAGGATTAGGACAATATATCCACTCCATCTTGAATTGCCTGATCAATTACAGCGACACCTTAGTCCATTTCTCCAAACTACTTTGTCCATTGCTAGGAGTAGGAGCCCATGGAGCCATGCCTCTGGCTGTGCCTGAGCCCTGAGGCATAGCCAAAATATGAAGCTTCTTTGTTGTAGTTGCCCGCGGCAATTGATGAAGTATGAGTTCGGTTTCCACTGATTTCCCTGGGGGAGCTCTTTGGAAGGACCAACTGCAATAAATAAATGTGGAAATTAATCTGATAACAACATAATAAATAGGAGAACGAACCAGGTAAAGTAAGCATTGCAAATTTCAACCCTCCCCTGTTGATGCTAACTTTTGGTACCAAATCAAGATGAGCTTCAGCACTCTCCGAACTTTGCCTTTGACATGCTTTTGAAAATAATAATGTCTGTCAATTTTACCGGAGTAATTTCACCATTAACAAGCTTTCTCTCTGATGAAATGGTAATTAATGCACCTCAATAGGTTTTGTTCTAACATCTAGAATTCCAGAACAAGATAGCAAGTTCTAACTTATTATGATTGCTTTTCCTAATAAGAACTGGTTGCGTTTTGCTCAAAATTTTAAAAGGAAAAAGAAAACACTACAAGGTTTAATTGGTTCTTCTTCTGTCACATTACCTGGTAGATTTTTTTTTTTTTTTTTGTATTTTTTGACACCGAGAAGCTAAGTCTAAAAGAGGAATTCAATGGAAACGATAAGATATTGAGGGCACAATGCAACATTGAGTGAAATGTTAGCATTATCCAATTTCAAAACTTATTTGATCAAACAACAAAATAGATCTTTTTCATCTGAAAAAAAAAAAAAAAAAAAAAAAAAACCAAAATGAAGCAATTTCCTTTTTGTGAAACTGTCAATTCTTGAACTTTGAAATATCAAATTTGAACGATTCCAATTTTCATGTACTATAGTAGTTATGTAATAAAATACTTTTTATAATGTTTCTTCTAATCCTAAAAATAAATTTATATATATATATATATATTTGTCAAAATTGTATATATAAAAACCAAAAAGTGGGATACAGGTCTTATTTGATCAACCCACTCACGAAAAACTGCAAAAAAATAGCAAATAATTTTTTTTTTCTTTGCCCTGTAAAGAAAGATTGAAAGTGAACGCAATTGTTAAAGATTGTATTATCTTAATGGCAACATAAAAATAAAATACCACATGGAACTGGTAAAGTCTCCGTATGGTGAATATAAGAATTTTCTATTGAAAATTTCTATGCTTTCTAGAAAGATAAGTGAATCATAATTTAATTTCATTAATTCACACAATAACTTATTTTTATGACATGTTTGGTACATAATATTATGATAGAATAAGATAAAATAATATTATGAATATGATTAAATTAAATAATATTATCTTATTTTATATTTGATGTACATAAGAATTAAGATAGAATAATTTATTTATTTGTCAAAATTATCTTTCTTTAAAATTTATACAATTTAAATTATTGATGTAATTTTTGAAAGTATAATTAAACATGTAAGTTTAATCTTATGGATTAAAAATAATCCTCTCTACTTGAAAAAGATTGAATAATCATATACCAAAAAGATATTAATCTTTTTTGTAATTTTTATTATTCTTTTTAAATACAAATCAAATATAATATAAAATAATTATCATCATATCATATTAATAATCTTATGTATTAAACATGACTTTAAAAGATAACGTTAATATTTTATCTTATAGATTTTTTGTTTTTTTTTTTACACTAAGAAGCTAAGTCTAAAAGAGGAATTCAATGGAAACAATAAGATATCGAGGGCTCAATGCACCATTGTGTGAAATGTTAGCATTATCCAATTCAAAAACTTATTTGATCGAACAACAAAATAGATTTTTTTTCATCTGAAAATAACACTTGATTGAAGCAATTTCCTTTTTGTGAAACCGTCAATTCTTGTATTTTGAAATGTCAAATTTAATCAATTCTAATTTTTAGGTACAATAATGTTAATATTATGAATGGCTTTTGAATTATAATAAAATATTTAATATAATATTTAAATTTTAAAATTTAAAATTTTTTGATAAAATATTTAACTTATAAATTTATTAATTACTAAAATATTTATCTTAATATTTAACAATTTATGTATTTATATTGTATAAAATATTAGTAATTCATGTATTTATATCGTATTTTATACGAAAATTATATATTATAAGTTGTGTCAACATATTGTAGACACCTCATTTTGTCCGAAATTTTTTGTCAATTGAGATTAATCCAAGCTCAGTTGCAGGAATTTTTATTCATTTTTATTTTATATTTTTTATTTCATATTTATCTTTTTAATTTTTATTTTATGATTTATTTTTTTTTTTTTTGATTATCTGATTAATTAAAAAAAGAGGAAAAAAAGCTGAAAGATTGAGATTAAGCTTGATGATTGTGATGATTGTTATCTAGATGCTAATCTTTAGCATTGGATGATTAATTGGAATTGAATTGAAACTCTATCAGCATGGGTCTATAAATCAACAATGAATATACAAGCTGAAGGGGGAGAAAAGAGAGAAGAAGAATCCGAATAATAGAAGGGGAAGGGAAAAGAAAACAAAAGCCAAACAAAAGGGGAAGCCCCCATTGCCACCAAGCCCTCGAGGCTTCCCCTTGGTGGGAAACTTTCCCTTCATTGATCTTGACCTTCACTCTTACTACCATTTGAACCACCCACCAGCCTAGTTCCAAATCCCAGCAAACTAATTTCCAAAAAACATAAATCCAACTTTCAAGAGTCAGATGAAGAGACTGATTATCTAGTCTGGATAGACCCTGGTTCCATTTGAATCTGGCAATTGGTTGGTCTCAGTCAAAGACTCGGTTGTATTGAGGATCCATAGAGCATCAGAGGCGAGTAAGATGACTACTTCTAGCCCGAAACTTTGAAGGTAAAATCTCCCACTCTGAAGGAACTCTGAAGGAAATAGATCACTTTTAACCAAGAAAAAGGTTTGGCCTTTCCCTTTATGCACTAGAAAGAAAAGAATGAAAATGAAGCACTAGCACCTCTGTCAACAAAAGCACCACCACCTCTATTAGCATAAGTGCCACCACCAGTTTCAGCACAAGCATCACCACCATTGTTAGAACAAGCACTACAACAACCACCAAAAACAGAAGGACAGGAATCGATATTGCCTTCACCTTCACCTTCTGACTAGAAGCTACATAGAGCTCCAATGCACGCATATCATAGTTACAGAGGAGGACGTGAAAGAGGAAGAAGAAATAGGATTTCACATTCAACAACCAGATTTACTGAAGAATTTGATTTCACAGCGATGAATGAGAAATTTAACAAGGATAAAGTTTGGGGTCATCTCGGTAAAAGTAGCCGAGCTCAGGAAGATGTCGATGATTTACAGGATGAAGATAGTGTTGGGTCCCTAAAAGGGGAGGTTAAACCTGTATATGTCAAGGATGATTTTTTTTTTATTCCTTGTCCTGTGATTCTCTTGGTGGTGGGTTACGTGGGAGAGCTAGATTTTCAGAGCAAATGAGAAGAGATACAGAGAAAAAAATAAGGAAAAAGAAAAACAAAGAAATAAGCCAACTTTGTTGTAAAAAACTAAAAGGGTATGGCCTCAACTGAGAGCTCCAGATCTTCAACTTCTGGGTCTCCTGATTCATACATAGGCAGCTTGATAAGCTTGACGTCTAAGTCTGAAATCAGATATGAAGGTGTTCTCTTTAACATCAACACTGAAAAATCTAGCATCAGTTTGAGAAATGTAAGGTCATTTGGAACAGAAGGGCAAAAAAAGATGGTCCACAAGTTCTAGCAAGTGATAAAATTTATGAGTACATATTCTTCCATGGAAGTGACATAAAGGACTTGCAAGTTAAATCTTCTCCATCAGTTCAGACCTCAGCACCTATACACAACGATCCTGCCATTATACAGTCTCACTATCCCCAGCTAGCAATTGCATCCACAAGCTTGCCTTCTAGTCTGGATCTATACAAGATCTAGGTTCCCAAACTCCGTCTGTAAGACTAGTGAGGCCAACATTTCAAAGCATTCTTCCATTATATCAACCTGGTGCAAGTTTAGGGCCATGGGGTTCATTGACTGCTCCAACCACAAATGGTGGGCTTTCCATGCCTATTTACTGGCAAGGTTACTATGGGTCAACAAATGGTCTTCCTCCACAGCAGCAACCTTTACTCCGACCCCCACCTGGCTTGTCAATGCCACCTTCCATGCAGCAATCTATGCAATATGTAGCCATGAATGTGTCATTACCTGCTGCAGCTTCTAACTTGCCAGCTTCTCAATTTTTCGAAAACAGTCAGTTGTTGCCACCTTTTGCTTAGAAGGATGTGGAGGCTATTCATGTGTCATCTCCAGAATTGACGTTAGCACCAGACATCTCTACATTTATTCGAGCAAGGGCAGCTGCCTATCCTATATTTGTGATGATAGAGAGGAATACAATTAGCAAAATTAGCTCCAAGACAGGCTCACCCAAGACCTTAAACCGGAGCCGTTAATTAATCAAAATCAAAGCCTTGAGTCGAAACTCATTCAAGAAATAATTTAGGCCTTATTCAAAAAATTGGCCTAAATTGATTTTGATCCGGGATTAAGTTCAATTTTTGGTAAGATGTTTTCTTTCCCATTTTGATTTTTTTGGTCGTAGCATGTCATTTATTCACTCATTTTATTTTATGTTTTCGTGATTTAAAAACATTGGTTAATAATAAAAAATAATAATTTCAAAAAATATTTTTGAGAAAAAGTTGAAAGTATCAATTTTCCTCGAAAATAAGCTTTTCTAAAAAATATTTTTTGAGAAAAGTTGAAAGTATCAATTTTTCTTAAAAATAAATTTTCAACAAAAGGTTTTTGAGGAAAAGTTGAAAGTATCAATTTTTCTCGAAGTTAAAGTTTCAAAAAAATTATTTTTGAGGAAAAGTTGAAAGTATCAATTTTTCTTGAAAATAAACTTTCTAAAAAAAATTTTGGGGGAAAAGTTGAAAGTATCAATTTTTTCCTGTACAAAAGCAATCATTTTTTTTTATTTCTTTTGAATTTTTTTTAATGTCAAATAGTCCGACGATGGAGTCTCTGCAAGTGAAACAATAGTTTTCTTGCATACTCTTAAGGTGAGGGAATTTTTTCAATTTTCTGCTAAAAGTATTAGAGTCAATTGAGAATAATTTCTAATAATTAATCACTTGATAAATTTTTAAGGCTCATTGGATAACACAAATTTAAGCTGGTACCATCTTTTGATGGACGTTGTGAGGGTGCTTTAACCTTCCTTAATTTCTAATAATTAATCACTTGATAAATTTTTAAGGCTCATTGGATAACACAAATTTAAGCTGGTATCATCTTTTGATAGACGTTGTGAGGGTACTTTAACCTTCCTTACACGTAACCGAACTCCCGAACCTTGTTCTGGTTAGTAGACCTGAATCTATTCTTTTAGGGACCCTTAAACTTAGGTGTTCCCTGAAATGACAGATTCTTTAAATGGTCAATCGCACATAGATAAAAAAGATTGATGACGACTCCTTTAAGTCAATGTCTAACGATAAATCCTCGGATCTAGACGTTATGACACATATCAACACAAAATATATATATTTTTGTTTTGTTAAACCAATGTACGAGCTTTACTAAAATATTATCTAATATCACTTTCATTTTTTTTTATAAAATTTTTGAATTGTATCATCATATTATATTTTAAATTGCAATGTATGCTTACCCTTTAGGGATGATAACAAGTCGGGTTGAGACGAGTTTTTGTTTACTCCAAACTTGACCCAACTTTATATTCATAATACCTAAATCGACCCTACTCGATTTTTTTTATTTTTATACTCGAATTGATCCTACTCAATATTATGTAAAACTTTAATAAAATATTATTTTTTAATGTAAATATAAAATATATAAACATAAATAAATAATTAAAAAATAATTATATATATAAGATTGATGTGGGTTTGTCTAAAATACAACTCGACTTTATTCTACAATCATTTGACCCGATACCCAATTTAAAATAAAAAAATAAAAATTAACCTTAAAAAGTTAGGTTGGATTGAAACCCGTTGGGTATGGTTTAAACTATCTTCCTTATTACTCTTAATGTGACTAACTTCAAATAATGATACGTATTGTACAAATAATCCTCTAAATATTGGAAGCACATCACTTATAATTTTTTTTTACTACAATACTATCATTATCCAATCACATTAAAAAATTATATAAATATCCACTATTTTTAAGTGTAAGCTCTACATAAAATTTTTATAAATCCCACATAATTTTAAATTATAATTGATTAATTGTATTACAATGATTATAAATAAAATTTTTTTTAAGTATCATTTTAGTTAATAAATTTATAATTCAAATATTATATTAAAATATTTCACTATAATTTAAAAATTAATATTAATGTACTATATAATGAAATGAAATACTTTTTATAATGTTTTTACTTATCCAAAAATAAAATTGTTTATATATTTTTGTCAAAATTGTATATATAATAACCAAAAAGTGGTATACAACAGGCCTTTGATTAACCCAGTCATGTAAAGCTGCAAAAAAAATGATAAATAATTTTTTTCTGTGCCCAGTAAAGAAAAATTGAAAGTGACCACAATTGTTAAAAGAACTTATTATCTGCTAATGGCAACATAAAAATAAAATACTTATGTAAGAAATTTCTATTGAAATGGTAGTCTTCGTATGGGAAACGTAAGAATTTTCTATTGGAAATTTCTATGCTTTCTAGAAAGACACATAAAATTTTAAAATGAATCCTAATTTAATTCGATTAATTTTGAATTCAAAGTTTAATATTTCACTGATCTTTCTTTCGTATTTAAATTGTAATATATTTTGTACCAAAATAAAATCCCAAAGGTTGACCGTAAAATCAATCAAGTTGTATTAAACAAATATTGTAGTCACGGTACTAAATTAATTAAAAAGCAAGAAATTAGAAATTCATAAATTTGTCATTATTTCATTGTTGTCTAAAAAAACAGGTAATTTATAAAAGTAATCAAGGAAAACAAGTTAATTTTATTTTTTTCTATGTTAAATTTTTTAAAATATTAGTTTTTTTTGCCAATTTTAGAAGCATATGGTTGAAATAACAAAAAGGAATTTCTAAAAATAGATTAACAAATATATTATAAAAAAAAAAAAAGAGAAAATTGAAACCCCCGACGGCTCGTTGGGGGACGTAACATCAGGTGCATTTCCCTCCCTTTACCTGTTCAACATAACTTCCCTCAGATACGTCCCTTGTTCTTTTCTTATTTCCCAGTTTCTCCATAGCCGAATACCCCAAAGCTCAATCCAAAAAGAGAAAATATCATAACTCCTTTTCATTCAACACCCAAAACTTTCCATCACTTTCCTTTCTATCTGGTTCTCTCCAAAGCCAGAAATGAAGGTGTGTCATGCCCTTATGCAATGCCCTTTTATCAACTTTTCTTGCTTTAATCTGTCCCCTGCGTAAACCCTTTTTACTGACGATCTTCTTTTCATTGTTGCAGGGATTCAATCCTTCAACTAATCTCTCCTTCTTCCTCCAGCTTTTTCTTATCACAGTTCATCTCTTCTCCTGGTCTTCCAGTCTCAAGGTAATTAAAAGCTTGATTAATTATCTTTTCCAAGTCAAAACGATAAAAACCCATTTCTTTCCTTTACATGAATCATGCGTTGAACGACTTTTTAACCTTAACAGATCGGAGAAACATGTTCTTCTTCTTCTTCCAACAGTGGATGTGACTCTGGCTTAACATGTCAAACTTGCGCAGCCAATGGAAATACCCGACCCAGATGCACACGGATTCAACCACTCAACCCTACATCGAAGGTTGGACCGGTTTCAGTTGTTGGTTTTAATTCTTTATTTAACGTCGTCAAATAACTCTTTTTTTTAGTTGTATTTTATTGAATTTGTAATATTTGTTCTGTTTATTTGTCTGTCTATGGTTGGTAAATGGTTAGGAAAAAGGTTTGCCATTTAACCAATATTCTTGGCTCACAACTCATAACTCTTATGCCCTCAAAGGGGCAAAATCGGAAATTGGATCGGTTATTGTTGCACCCACTAACCAGGAAGACTCCATCACCAATCAACTTCAGGTAAGACTTATCAAATTTCCTTTTTTTTTACTATTTTTAATGATTTTTTTTCTGGTTTTAGAATATCAGTTTTTATAAGATGTAAACGTGTGCTTTTTTACTTTCAAGGGCCATGTTATTGTTCAGTTATTTCTCAAGTGACCAAAATGCCCTTGATTGAGGTCTATTATTGCATGGTGAAGCTTATTGATTTAGTTATTTTATGAAATGTATTCGTAAGGGTAGTTTAGTCTTTCAATGTAGATAGTAACAGGTTTGGAGCTCAAAAACAACAAGAAGGGGAGAGGAAATGGTCTGTTAGATGCAGCAAACAGCTGTCTTTGATTAAAAATTAAGCATATTTTGTTGATGAGTTGGTAGAAGTCTTTTGATTAAAATATAAGCTTTCCAACAAATCCATTGCTTCATCATTTCACATTTAACATACACTATGATTAATAAAAGACCCCAGAGCATAGAATTTCCCAATATCATATCCATAATCCATAATCCATATATAGAGAGTTATCACAACAGTTTGATTGTTTTTTAAAAAGGAGTGAGTCAACTTTTTAGTTTTTTAATGTATAGGCTTTATTTGTTTAAGAAGTCCCAGAAGATTAACTTAGATTTTAGTACCTTTTTTTAATGTTCGTTGAACTGAATTGTCTTAATTTACTAAGAAATGAATCTTGTTGTAGAATGGGGTTCGTGGACTTATGCTGGATATGTATGACTTCAATGGTGACATATGGTTATGTCACTCCTTCAATGGCCAATGCTTCAATGTCACAGCATTTGTAAGTTCAATAGGTGCTTAAATTAATCGAATTTATATATCTCAAGAAAATTTTTATCTTTTAAACTCTTAGCTTATTTTCCATGAATCTTTGATCACCCTCAGCAACCTGCCATTAATGTGCTCAAAGAGATACAGGCGTTTCTAGAGGCAAATCCATCAGAGATTATCACCATATTTATTGAGGATTATGTGGTATCTCCACAAGGCTTAACAAAGGTTTTCAATGCATCTGGTTTAAGTAAATACTGGTTTCCTGTTTCAAAGATGCCCAAGAATGGTGAAGATTGGCCGACAGTTGATGATATGGTCAAGCAGAACGAGAGACTGGTAGTTTTCACTTCCAAATCAGCTAAGGAGGCATCTGAGGGGATTGCTTATCAGTGGAGATATGTGGTAGAAAACCAGTGTGAGTTCCAGTTCTGTTTTCACTCCTTTCTAAAATGTGTGTTTGTTGGGAAGTAGAACCAAATTTTAGATTGTCTTTTGATGTAAAAAGCCTGTTTTGAACTCAAAATTGCAGATGGAGATGATGGGATGAAAGCTGGTTCCTGTCCAAACCGTGCTGAATCATCTCCTATGGATACTAAAACAAGATCGCTGGTTCTTCAAAACTACTTTCCTACTAATCCGAATGAGACAGCAGCTTGCGCAGAAAATTCAGCTCCGCTGGTTAGCATGCTGAACACCTGTCAGAGGGCAGCTGGAAATCGATGGCCAAACTTCATTGCTGTTGATTTTTACCAGGTTCCTGAACTAAACTGAATCTCATAGAACCTTTTAATATTGATTTAGTAAGTTGTACCTGTCATCGAAACTGATTTTTGTTGCAGAGAAGTGATGGTGGGGGAGCCCCAGAAGCGGTAGATATAGCAAATGGTCATCTCACTTGTGGTTGTGACAATGTAGCCTATTGCAAGGTCTGTTAACATTTAATATGCAATTTAAATTTTGAAATAAATGACAACTACATAACTGGATGATTAATTTGTGGGCAAATTTAAGATTCAATTGAAGATTTCTATACTCTCTTAACTTCGGGGAAAAACAATTGAATATTCTATTAGTTCAGGGAAAAATAATAACAAAGACTAGCAGAGCTGTAAATCTTGCAGTTTTGAGTGTTTAACCAATGGTTGTTATATTTGGCAGGCCAATGCTACATTTGGCACCTGTGAGGTCCCTCCAATTTCACCCCCTCCACCTGCCGCTGCAACTCAATCGACCACCCTTTCTAACTCCAACTTTGCTAATATGGATGCCAGACCTGTCCAACTGCGGTGGATGCTGGCCACTATTTTGACCACAATTCTCTTGTTTCGGAGTTGATGATCACCAGTTCGCCTGTTTGTTTTTCCTTTATAATTTTTAAGATTTGAGTCACACGGCAGTTGTTTTTACAAAACCAAGGATTTATATTTCCTTTACTTGACCTCTTAACTCAATTAAGATTATACTTCAACCACCAGAATTTTGCAAACAAAAAGGAAATGTTGAAAATCCAGAGGGGGGGGGGGGACATGGGGTTCCTACATACAGCTGAATTTTAATGCTAATGTTTGTGTGCTCCAATTTATAAGAAATTCATGCTTGTAAGCATGTGGACTGTCGAAGAAGTACCATTTTTGGTTCCATGTTACATGGTGCAAATTTTGGCATTATAGATAACGTGCACAATTGACAGCTACCAAGGGATGCCAGGTCAGAAGAAAAAAAACAAAAACAAAAAGCAAAACCAATAATAATAACAGGAACTAAAACAGAACAAACATAGTGGCCCGAGGAGGGTAAGAATGCCAGGGTTATCCTCCAAATTCTTTGAAATGTAATCTTTGCATTGGCCTTGAAAGTGGAGTGATTAAAATCCTCCCTAAGACTTTGCTGCTGGAAGAGCTGCTAACCATCAGTGAAGGAGAGATCCATGGACAGGACATAACCTCTCTGTTCATAAAGATTGGACTAACAAGATTTGTTGATGGAGGGACCTTGATTACATTTATATTAATGATAAACCATCCAACCACATTCACTCAATTTCGACAGTCTCAGTGTCATAAATTGGCTCAAATAATTCTGGTGCTCAAGTATTGCTGATCAAATGTGCTGGCAAACTGCAATAATGATTTGGCATATGGTTGCTGATAATAATCATCCAGAATTTAATTTATATCGTTGAAAATGAATTTGTTGAGCAATAATTTGATTCTGAATTACATGACAAATCTTAATGTTCAACGCCTCTCCTAGAAAACAAATTGACAAAAACAACTTGATTTGGACCCTTTTTAGAAAGTTATATCACAGCTGTAATTAAGAATAGATGCCACATACAAGTCAACATAGTGGAGCAACGGGACAAAAAGGGAAATGGATCATGTAATTGGCATTGCAAAATGTGGAACAAGGAACTTAGTATGTGCAATTCACCTCAAACAATTTCAGCATATATCCAGTGCTTTTCTTCTTCACATTCCTGATGTCACCAACCCACCATTATGCATCATTAACATGTTCTGCACCTTCAGAGCCACCAGACTCTGCCACCCTTTTCTCTACCAACTCAGTCTTTGGATAGTCGTGATGTGCCTGTTCTGCTCCTGCATCCCTTCTAGTTCTACAATCCTGAAACAAGTTGCTTAGACCAATGAATCAACAGGGTTCCTTTATCTTCAAAATTCAAACTGAATCAGGTGATCATTTTTCTCTACTTCTAACCGTTACTAGTTTCAACATTATGAAAAATGTTGGGGAGAGGAGGGAAAGGCATGAAAATTCATGAAGATAAACCAGATACATCATCGGCATAAAAAGGCAAATGGTAAAATACATGCACTATAATATCCATAGCAAGGAAACTGGTATAACAGTATGAAATTCAGTTTCTGAAGCTGGATTTATGTACATTCCACATCCACCTTGGATGTTTGTATTATTAACAACTATTACATGACTTATACTGTGAATTTTGGAAAAGACTTCTTCAACAGTTTAGCACAAATGCGTTTTCGCTTTTAATTCTTTATTGCAAATAATCATTTCATGTATATTTTAAACTTAAGGTACAACTAAATTCAATGATTTTGATATGACTACATTCCTTATATGTAGAAAGTACCATATTGAACTTGAACATAACTTATGCAGATTTATATACATACATCCTTGAAGGGGGTTTCTTCAGCTTCAAGCATATGTACAACATAGCCCATCTTAGGTCGTTTTTGTGCATTTGGGTCCACACAACGTAAAGCTACAAGTAGAGCTCGCTTCAATGCTCTTGAAGTAGGCTTCTCAGGTAGCTTGGGATCCAATACTCCCTCTGGGTTCCTGTTAGCAACCATCTTCTTAAGCCACTCAATCAAGTTCACCTGGAAATTCTTGACTTTTAATCAAAAAGCAAAATGGGAGAGCAAGAAGGAAACCTTAATAGCAATTTTTTTCTGAGAAAAAAAAAAAAGAATCTTTTGCATATACAGCCGGATATGGGTGCAAACCTCTTCTGGAGGCCGGCTATAATCAACTGGATTCCTCCCAGTGATAATTTCCATAATAAGAATCCCAAAACTATACACATCACTTCTTTCATTCAACATGCCAGTGCTAGCATATTCAGGAGCTACATAGCTACAAAAACAGAAACAAAATGTTAGAAGTGGCCAAATACACAAAATCACATCTGCAGGAAGTGTGAAAGGGAGGCATTTTACAAACCCAAATGTTCCCATGACTCTAGTTGTAATGTAGCTGCTCTCAGAGCCCAAGAGTTTGGCTAGGCCAAAGTCTGAAACCTTGGGGTTCCACCGCTTGTCAAGTAGGATGTTGCTTGATTTAATATCACGGTGAACAACTTTAGGTTCAAGTCCCTCATGAAGGTATGTTAACCTAATAAATAATCCAGTTATGACAAATTAAACAATGCAGAAAGAAAACAGCATAAATAAAAGCCAAATGAAAGTTTCATTTGATTTCAATCAAACCCTTTTGCTGTTCCCAGGATTATATTCATCCGAATATCCCAAGTAAGAGGACTGCAAGGCCCTACATCTCCATGAAGCCACTGCTCTAAATTTCCATTATTTAGATACTCGTACACGAGCATCCTAACAATGAGGCAACAAGTAATTGTTAACAATTTTTTTAGATTTTCCATATAAAATGCCATTAAGTTATTGAGTTATACAAATGAATGCCAAAGTCTATATTTTTCCAGATGACAGATAGGAGCAGTTAAGCAAAATCAGAGAACCTGTGAGCTCCTTCAGCACAGTAACCCAGCAACCTTACTAAATTCTTATGCCTAACTCGTCCAATTGCCTCTACTTCAACTTTAAACTCCTTTTCAGCTTGTCCCCTGTGGATTAACAAATGTTTCAATTCACTAATTACTTCAGAAATTAAGAATGACACTTAATTTAACCAATATATAACAGCTAAGCAAAAAATTGCTCTACCATGAACTCCAATTAATGAATCAAAATTGACATGAAAGTATAGACAATTCATATAGGAAGAAAAAGCACCTGTTATTGAGCAAGTTCTTAACAGCAATCTGAGTGTTATCCTCCAAAACACCATGGTAAACAATTCCATACCCACCCTCACCTATTACTTTTTCAGGAGCAAATCCATTTGTCGAAACCTCAAGCTCCCTCAAAGTAAACCAATGCCCCCATCCCAAATGTGAAACTTCAGGCACCACTCCTGCCACGTAATCACCACGTGCCTCGCCACTCGTATTTGGAGACAACCCTGGATACGAAATTCTATGATCTTTCCCAATCTCAATGTGAATTCCATGATAACCAGTCGGACTCTCCTCTTCCAGAGGCAGAAGCAAGGCTTGTCTTTCAATGCCTGTACCTGGGTCAGTGTCAGGATAAGGGTCAGCTAGAATTCGAGTCATCTGAGGCTTTGGAGGGTCGATTTTGATCTCCTGGATCTCTTTGGAAACAACTGGGATTCTTGGTTTTGAAGAAGCTTTGTGTTTAGTTCGTTTTGAAGCAAGCCAAAGAGAAATGACGAAAAGAAGGAGAACAAAGGCTGCTCCTACACAGACTCCAAGAACTACCCATAAACGCAAACCAAAAATTGAGGTTGTCATTGATAGTTGATCTGCCATAAACCCACTTTTCCGATCAGACATCTAAGTCTGATCCTACAATTCAGTTAAAAGAAAAAACAAGGCAAAAAAAAGCGGATTCATGCACAGCTTTTAAGGAATCAAACTGAATAGTTAAAAGTCACTTATAGGTGTTGTAGCAAAGTGCCTAGAGAAAAAGAAAGTGAAGGGACTGATAGTGATGAAAAGAATAGCAGCTCGCATGGTGGGACCTTTTACATTGTTGAATCAAAAAACAACTCTATAAATTTTTTTTCCCGGACGATAATTTTAAGAGTGTTGCAGTTCGAACTTGGAACTCCTACTACTAGTAAGTAGTAATCCAAAGTCCAAAAAAGAGAGATATTTTGCATGCTAAATGTCCTTATTTCTTGCCACATGAACAGGTAAAGCAACAATGGATTAGCTTTTGCACATTTATTTGCTTTTTACTTGGTCTATTTACTAACATTTTAGTAATAAATATACTATTACTCTAGAATTGTTGTTAGACAAACCAACAAAATCAACCACTAGATGATTTTTTTTTTTTTAAAATGAATTTCAAATATTTAAATGATTCATGAAAAATGGCAATTTTTTTTACTAAGATGACTTCCATTGGCTCTTTATTTATTATTTCTAGAGAAAGATTGATTTTGGGTTTTACCAAGTGAGTTGACTGGCTGTGTTTGAATTGATTCCAGAGTTGCACGAGCCATGAATTGTATCTGTCAAATTCAATGTCGCCCATCCCTGCTTGTGAGTTGTGGACATGGAATTTTAATGCTCACCAGACAAGAACAGCTATCTTTCCATGGTTTTATGTTTTAGCTTGGGAGCTAAACCGTTCCATCATTCTTCAATTATTCGATATTCACACCTTGATCCTCCTTGTTTCAAGCAGTTTAAGGTCATCTCATCTTAAAATATTCCATAGAAATGTCCAGTTAGGGTACAACATAAACAGAACTAATCATCTAAATTATAACAAGATTATGTCTAGCTAGATGCTTAACTTGAAGGAGATCATCATCATCATGTCAGTTAGATAAGATTAAAGGATTTTATCTTTAAAATCAACAGCATGCAATTAGAAAAGGATTCCTCTGTGAGTTTTAGTAGAATTTCGTCTGTAAGCTAAAGCTGGTCATGGGCGCAATCTATTCGAGCTTGGCCCATTTAGGCCTGTAGGTGGCTTTTCCAACTAGCCAGTTTCTTCACAAGAATCCTGGTACACAAAGCCGGGAAAAAAAATTTTTATACAATTACAAAATAGCCCCTCAAGCCTAAATTTATTGTATTTATGTATATTATCTTTAATTGTGGATATATAGTAAAAAAAAATTATTTGTATTTAAATATTACAATTCTTTAATTTGGGTTTACTTATTATAAATGATTTTTAATTTCAAATAAATAAATTTGTTATCACTTTATTTTCACAAATATATAGATTTAAACTTAATATATATACAAGTATTATAATAACTAAAATCAAATTAACAAATATTCAATTGCAATATTTTTTCAACAAAATCTTTTTTCATATTGTATCCTTCTTGTTCCTTTTTTTTTTTTAAATTGTTACATATTAAAATAATATTACATACTTAATATATTCATTTTGTTATACATATATTTACATATTAATATATTTATAATTGTAAGTTTTGTTTTTATATATTACATCTAAGAGGCCTTTTTTTTTGTTATTAATAGATTTAATATATTTTGAGAAAAATAAAAATAATTTGTTACTATAAAATATTACTTCTTATGATATTGATTTTTCAAAAGTAAAATAATCTTTAAATAAGATTTTTAACGAAATAACTAATGGATAATTAATAGAAAGATTTATTTGTTTTGTAAATTAAAAAATTTAGAACAGGATGTCAATTTTTCAATTAATAGATTTGTGTTGAATTATGTCTAAAGCTAAAAGATTTAGATGAAATTTACCTTATCTAAAAAAACATACAAATGTTATGAAAAGACTAAACTAGAAGAGAAAGCAATGGTTCATTTTATTAAGAATAGCAAAAAGCAATGGGATTATAATGGGATTATCATTAATTTATGTTATATGGATGATATTTAATATATTTAGAATTTAAATTTAATTATATACATTTTTTTTATTTTTAAATAATAATTTGACATACGAAGACGATTATGTTAAGAGGCTCCTCCAACTCCATTGGAATTATTATTCTTAACCAAGATTTTTTTACCGAAAAGAAAAGGAAGATTTCATTTTTCTTTTTCTTTTATTATTTTCCAAATGAAAGGTTTTGAAGTTTGTGGTTGTCTTATGGGATTTAAAACAAAGATGCTGGCTGGCTGTTGCTTACAATATAGAGAGATGCTATAATTTTTTTAGTCATAAGTAACATGTAATGACATGAACCTTTTTGTTTTTTGGCTTCTTTCCTTGTCCAAAATAAACCTTTTAATTTGCTGGATACACTCATTTTTTTCTTCCTTTAAGGAATTAATTTAATAAAGATTATTATGTTTATCAGAGATTCATCTCCAAGCATATGTTTAAGTAATATAAATTGAATTTGCTTATTTTCAAACGAAAAAAGCTTTAAAAAATAGATTTTCCATTCTAGTATTGCAAAAATAGTTCGGAATATAATATGTTATTTCTAATTATATAATTGTAGTTTGTTGGTGGATATGTTATTTGCTGTCTCAATCTATGATTAATCAATGTCGTTTTCCACTTGTTCATGTTACAGAAATTTCCTCAACAAACTTACAGAAAGTTGGCAGAGAGATATATGTTATTTTGTTTAGTCTTATATTGTTTTTGTGTCATTAGTTGTTGCCATTAATGTAATAAAAAACCCATGTCGTCATCTTTGTCATTGCTGTTAACATCATCATCATTAGAAGTATTTTCTTAGCATAAATTGGAGCTCTTCCATGACTTCGTAGTTCATCCCTAACTGGATCCTATGTCCACAGAAGTACATTCATTTTTTAGTTGCTTTTGGCTAGAAAGGTTAAGGGCAGGCCTAATGCGGGTTGAAACATGCACTATATATAAAACTACTTGGGACCAAAAAATTTTAAAAAATTTAAAAATTGATTCAAAATCGTAATCGTAATATTCTATTCGGTTTACTTTTTATTTGATTTAAATTAAATTTAAATATTAAATATATATATTAAATTCAAATCAAATTTTAAATAATAATGTAAAAAACTGAAAAAAAAATCTAATCAAACGAAATTATAAACTTGTATTAATTTTTATTGTAATTTAAATTTTTATAAAATAAAAAAATTATTTCATAAATAAATCTATTTAATATATTATAAATCTTATTAAAATAACATATATAAAATAAATAATACCAATAAAATTCAAATTGATAAAATTCAAATTGATTTTTAAGAAAAAATCTGTTTGAATTCGAATTAAATTTTTAAAATTTATTATATTATGCATTTTAAAAACCAAAAACGAAACCAAATTCAAATTGATTTTTAAGAAAAAATCTGTTTGGATTCGGATTAAATTTTTAAAATTTATTATATTATGCATTTTAAAAACCAAAAAAGAAACCACATCTGATGCGAACCATAATTACTCCTAAAAATTACATTGTCTAGATCATGGGAGAATCTCCTTTCCAGTGGTAAACATAAGTTTAGAAACGACTATCAAACCAGTTAAAACGTGCCTACACAGAAAATCAGTTTTTATGAATAGTGACTGTAAGATCATCTACTTTGTAAAGAGATAATATACCCGATGATAGATGATTAAATATGACATATGGCTGATTTAGTTCAAGGCGACAAGAACTATGAATTACTATCATTTAAAGAGAATTTTAACGTGCTAGAAAATTATGATGGAAATTTAACAGAACGTGACAGCTGCTAACTTTACCCAGCTGAGGTAATGCTATGTTTACTGCTCATTCACCGCTGGATGCTTAAGAGGCAGTTCAAGATACTGCCTTCACTATGGAGGTTTTGTGAGAAATATAAAAGAGACAAAACCAGACTGTAATTTTTGTTATACTAAATCCAAAAGGCTAACAGAGTAGGCATCAGTTTAAGCAGCCAATTCAGAAGTTTGGTTTTTCAGTTTTGATTTCATCACTTGAGTCACTCCTTCCTGCTTGCCTGCTGTTGAAGTGAAAATTAAAAGACATTGGATTAAATGGTGGAATGATTTTGTGTCTGCGTGTGTGGGAAGAAAACGGAGGGGGGGAGGGGTGTTGTGTTCGGGGTTCTTAATCAGGAAAAGCCCATTTACCCAGTCAGGGGCTGAGGAATTATAAGGTCATGCTCCATATTCTTTAAGATAACACTGCTTGATTGGTCTCTTCTCATCATGCTCGCTTCATGAGAACCACTTTCCTTAATATCAGACTCTCGTGTATCAAAGGGAAGTAAAACTGCACTTGTAGCCGCTGAACCAAATTCTGTTGACAGATGAATACGTGTTAGACCAGGGACATGGAAAATGGTATATAAGCAGCAGCAACCTCGAGGATTTTACCATTTGAACAAGTATGCTATTTCAACCAAGTTGAAGAACGTAAGCTTTTGGGCCTACCTGATGTATTTATCTTTAGCTGATGATGTGGCAGAATGTCTTCCCTGCAAATATCCTTCACAATCCCTTAATGTAAGATGAGTAATGAGGATTATTCCCCAAACCTTTTATGCATTGTTGCTCATATGACTTACCTGAGATGATGAGAGGAGCTGAAAAGGCTCAAACTGGGCCTGGATTGATTCCAACCCGAATGGAGTTTCCGAAGTTACTATGTTTGACATGTCCGGTACAGTTGCAGGGTTTGAGGAACTGCATTGGTTGGGTAGATTAAAAACCATCTGCGCCGAGGTTTCTTGATCTGCTGGCAATGTGCCTGACAGATTCATGTGTAGAGATCCATTTTCTTCACCAAAGTCCATTCTTGTTTGAGAAAATTGGATTGGTTGCAAAACTCCAGGTAAGCACATAGGATGCAAGCTTAATCCATTTCTCATTGACAGCATCTGATATTTGAAACACAAGGTAAACAAATCAGAAGCAAACTTTTTGTCCATATCTCATTATTTCACTCATATTTCCTTTTGTTATTAGCAATTCCACATAGATGATAAAAGGATAGATTAAGGCTACAAAACAAAACATCCTGCAGCAGATAGAACTGAGGTCCACAGTCTTTATGAAGAAGTCCGACTAAATTACAGCCATTAATATGTAATTCAGAGCTTAAATGCAGGCATAGTCCTGTGTCGTGTTACAACTGAAGAACTAAGCAGCCATTGAAAACCTCAAAGACAATTCCCTTCTACCTTCTCTCTTGACATGATTTTGGCCATTGATTTCATTGCTTCTCATAAAGTTGTTTTGAACTAGCTTCAATGTCCTCTTCGCTAATCATCTTTTAATCCTATTATACATTGGCAGCACCTCTAAAGCATGTTCTGAGCAGAGATCTAGCAGCACAATGAAAAATCTGTAGTCTTATCATCTTCCCTCAAGGCCATTAGTGGATTAATTAGGCAGTTCTTTGCGATGTCAACGAACGTTATATATACACCCAATCAGTTTTTTAAAATTGAATTTTATGTTGTTTATTGTGGATGCCAAATTTCTCCAGACACACCAGTCTACAATGAAGTTACGATCGTTAATTGTAATCATCAACAAGCTAGACATGCAAAGAAATCAAAAGGATCATGTTTTTCAGAACAAGATTCACACTGAACCAAACCAAAATGTGGTGATTTTCAACTAACTCAAAGATTTTCTCAAGTAAGAAGAATGTTATTCTGCAGCATATAGGCCTTTCTGCTTTTGAAAGACGACAATGGCATGTGAACTTGCTAGTGAGCTTTGTCCAAAATTGTTTCCAAATCTCCAAAATCCTCACAAGTTTAGAGGGTGGATTCACCAATAAAAGAAAAGAAATTGCAAAGTTGTTGACATACCTGAACTTGAAGCTGAAGCTGCTTCAAATACTCAATAGCTTCATCCAGCATAGAAGCTTTATCTGTCTGCCATGAATGGAAAATTCAATCCCTCAATATATTTACCCAAATTTGTAATGCCACAATATAGAAGCAATCAAATCAAAGTGGAAGAGTAAGTAAGAATGCATACCTTATTAGAATTTGGAATCAGGTTTTGTAATGCTTTCATTTTCTCATTAATCCTACTCCTCCTCCTCTGCCTCAAACAAAACCCATAAACAAAAACATCCATGAAGAAAACAAGCAAATCAAATCAAATAAATGATGTCCCATTATTATAGATTCAAAACAAAACCACACTAACCTTTTCAGACAAATTGTGGACCTCCGCAGCTCTGCTTCTTTTTGACGAGCTACGAGATGGAGCTGGCTTTGGTGGTGCCTCATCTACCAATGCTTCAAGACCCTCCTGCTTATGACAAATTTCAAACTATCACAAAGTAAAAATTGAATCTTTGCTCAATTTGAATTAAAAAAAAAAAAAGCAAGAAAAATCCCATTTAAGAAAAACAAAAACTTGATTTGCTAGAGCCAAAAGAAAAAGAATTTTCTTAGAAAATAGAAATTTTCACACTCAAAAAAGAATCTTGGAATGGTCATTACTGTCATCTTCATGTAATCAAATTTAACCGCATGCAACTCTCTTTGTTAAGATCTTAATATTTCTTAACCAAATGTCTCAAATTCTCTCCCTTTCCCTTCCAATTTTCTCAGCAACAGAAAAAGAATAATGATAATAAAGCCACAAAACCAGACACTTACCTCACTTTCACAGTCATACTCATCGGTATCATTCTCACCAGCAGCTCCAACCAAAGCCAACCCTCCACTCCCTCTCCCACAAGAATCAACAGTCAAGATCATCCCTTGCTTCAAACCACCACCAGGTGGTGGCAGTGACCGTGACAACCGCCGTGGATTGTTGGTTGGACCCCCAAAGTGGGCCATCCTAGAAGACGAAGACGAAGAAGAAGAAGAATGAACTAGAATTTGATGAAGAAGATTGGATATGTCATCTGAAGAAGAAGATAAACACATCCCATTATTATAATTATTATTACTAGTATTATTCTTATAATGAAACATGTTAAGGTTAATGTTATCCCCCATTTTTATCTTTTTTTTTTTCTCTTTTCATGTGTTTCAGCTACTGTCCTTTTTTTTTTTTTTTTGGTGGCTTTGGCTTTTGGATTTGGTTTCTATTACAAAGCTGAAGTTACATTAACAGGGAAGCCATATACAATGAGGGCGGAGTTTCTTCAATGAGAGAAAAAAAGACGATGGTGAAATGTGATAGAGTGACTGCCGGTGGGGATAACTGTGATTTTTATGGCAAATGATTGGGCGGTCAGATTGCAACAGTGACATTTCAAGGTGAGGCTAATGAAATTTTTCTACAGTGTCAGGTGAACCCTCACTCCCGGTCACGGGCGCACGTGGGGGACATTAAATCATGGCTTTATCCTTTAATTACTGATTTATCAGTAATTAATCCTTCCTTGTATTCCGTACTACCCAATTCTTTTCTGTTCTTTTTACTAATTCTTTGCTTTTTTATATGTTTCCGTACAAAATTTAGATCTCTTGTCCTAAATTTGTCCCAAAACAACTTCTCTTTATTTCAATTAAACGTGGTGTAATACTCACGAGTGATTAGTTTAATTGATAAAAATATTTTTTGGTATAAAAATTTTAAATTTAAATTTAATTGATAATTATTTATTAAAATTTTGAATGCATAATTTTTAATTATTTATTTTAAATATTAAATATAAAATATTTTAGTTTAATATAAGAGATTGAATAATATTTTATTCCAAAATTTTCTTGTAAGCAAAAAGTTCAGTTGAATTAATCAGTAATTAACTGATCATATCATAATTTTCAATTTGAAAGAAGAAATGAAATGGAAAGAGAAGAGGGGAAAGATTTCTTGGTTAGAAAAGCCACATGGGGAAAGATTTCTTGGTTAGAAAAGCCAAATGAACCTGACCCAACTCTTGAGGTCATTTCTGTAACCAGTGATTGCCAGCTTAAGATGACTGCATAAACATTTTGATTCACGACAACACAAGTCAAGTCTCAAATGATGAAAAAGTACAGCCCCACTTATTTTCTTTCTCCTCGCTTGTCCTGCAAAGTAAATCTCCTTTTCCTGTCTTCTCCCAGCTTTCTTTGTTTGTAAATTGTAACTAAGAAATGTGGTGATAAAAAACCAGCAACCAAGGACCTGTTTTGCTAAATGCCTGACCATTGGGGTTGGTTGTGAGATTCTATTGCATTTGATACCTTGGAATTTGTTAGAGACATGAGTAGTCACAAGATTTGCTGGCTTTACAGAGCTCAATCTGTTAATCCCAATGTTCTTGTACGTTACTTTTGCTCAGTACGTTTTTGTAGACTTTCAGTCTGACTAGAAGTCACACCAGTCAGTCACTGACACATTGAAGAGAGAAAAAGAAAAACACAAAAGTTACAACCAAGTCAAAGATTTTACCAAGATTATAGCAAGAATAAAAGCTCTCCCACTTCTTTTCTGTTTTGAATTATAATTACCTCCGGATGGGGTAGTTGATTAGTTTTTGCATGAATTTCACCAGTTTGACAAAAAGAGGGTCCCGATTGTTTTTTTCTCCATTTCCCATGCTTGGAAACCGATTTCTGGCACAAGTTGGCAATTTGGTTGCTCTTTGGTTAAGCATTTGGTTCTTGTCAGGATATCTATTGGTGCTGAGAGTCAACATGAAGGTATTTTTGCAAATGTAAAAAGAAAAAAATGGTTAGAGTTAAACATAAGGGGTATTCTTTGTTTTTATATTTTGATGCATAAGTCAATAAGAATTAAGTAAAACAAAAGTAAAAAAAATAAGAATGAAAGAAAGATATAAATTAAATGAACCTGACTTTATGATACATAAATCTTCATATTTATAAGTAAGTTAAGAGAAATAAAAAAGAAACAATTAAGATAGGGTCAAGCTGATGTAGCATTGGAGATGTTAGACCTACCTGACATGTCAAGTAGACATAAATGATCAAAATACCTTTAGTTATCTATTGAAGATTGAAAGAGGAAAAAAGATTACTATGTCTTTTTTACCATTATATGTCCCTAACACTTTATCCCCTCATAAAGCAATCTAAGTATCAAATCATTGAATTTATTACCAATGTCTCCGGTGTAAGGCGAGTGGCTATGTATTTCGTCGAAGGCTGATGTTACAGGGGGAGGTCGACTCTGGATGATGACAAGCTTTGAGTAACAGTCTGACTTGACGGTTATCCAATCTCACACGTGTGTTTCGGGATGAGTGTATAATCTATTTAAAGGTTGTCGATTTGATAATTGTCCGAGGTGATTCAAGATTATTACTGGACTTCATATAGTCATGGTGAGACTTATGTTTTCTTTAAAAAATTTGGACTTGAGCCTTTGTTTTGAACCCTGAAAGTGAATTGGGCTTTGGGTTTACCTTTGACAATTGTCCGATTCGGTTGTTTTGATATGGGGTTCGTTCGGTTAGGTCGGTCTGACAACATTAAATGAAAAAAAGAGACAATTTGAACAGGGACATTTAAAGTAGAGAGGTAAAAAGACTTCTACCTGCTCATGGTCCGACACGTGGTATGGATTGTGCTATCTTTTTGCGCTGAAGCGCGTCTATATAAAAGGACTAGTAGGGCTTAAGCTTTTCATCTTTCATTTTCTTTACTCTTAATCCGACTTAAAATTTTTTACCTCTACAGCTTTTTTGCCTTCTAAATTTTTTCTACACTCACTTCAAAATGTATTTCTAATCATGTCTTCTAGTATAAGTTCTGAAAGGGTTGAAAGTTATAGGTAGAGCCAAGGAAAGATCAGCAAGAGTAACAGGATGATGACTAATCCCTTTATTATTGAAGGTTGCAACATACAAAAATGGCTTATTGATTTAATCCGATGTCCGAGGAAGGGCAACAATGCAATGAAGAGAATACTTGAGTAAGAGACGAGCGAGTTTTGAGCACTGAAGAGCTGTATGCTTAGATCGACTTCAAACTTCAATATCTATCTATTTTTTTTGTCCTTCAGATCGATCCATCTTCTATGGCTGAACTTCCTTCCTCTTTAGGTATTCTTCCTTCTAGGGTTCAATCTCATCCACTTTCTGCCACTTCTGCTCTCCTCTCTTAATCAAAATTTTTTTATATCTCATCCTCTCTTGAGAGGTCTTCACCTTGTCCTTATTTTTTCGAAATCAAGCTACTTTTATCCATTGTTTTTCCTCAAGATTCATTTTCCACTTCAGAGTCAAATTTTTTTGATGAAGATGGTTTCAGGAGGAACAAGAAAAAGGGAATACCTCAATTAAAAAAAGTGATGATGAGAGAAAGAGTCTTACAGAGTAATACGAACTCACCAAAGTCTTTGTATATATTCTGTGTGACCTTGATGTGATATTCAAAGACATGATGAGTGAGCTAAAAGGCAGAGCAAATCTTAAAAACTATCCCAACATGTGCTTAGCTCATGTTGTTTGAGCTCTAGGTATCATTTTTCTTTTTCCCAGATAAGGGTACAATATAATAATATTGAACTCTTCAAATCAAATCACTGATAGATTATAGCCACATTGGTTTTACATATATTGGGATTCATTCATGGTTGGCCTAAGGTTTTCCATTTGTCCCTTATTCATTTTAGTTTTTAATTCTTATAATTTAACAATTTCTCAGTTCATCCCCAATTTTGTTTAATACATAGTCTTTTTTATTATTCTTGGTCAACATTTATATATTCTTTCTTCTTTCCCTCTATTTAGAGAGTTTTTCTCTTTTAAAAAATATCTTAATAATAGTAGGTGATTTTATATCACAGCTTGACTATATAAAAAGATTATCGTCAATTGCTCGAGCTTAATAAAAGACTAAAAACTGTTCTTTCTACACTTTAAGAAATAGAAAGCTAACAAAGATAGTGAGCCCGAGATTAAGGCTTAGGAAATAAGAAGCACACTCGACTCCTTCGTGGATGCACCAGTAACTCTCTTAATCCTTAATTTATCAAATCAAGATAAAATTTTAGATTTTACATGTAAAGAGAAGCTCGTTATTGACGTTCACGGAATGACCTTCCTAAAAGTAATAAACAAGATAAAGTATTGGGATAGGTTTGAGATAATCTCATTAACTTTTATTTTAAGTTGATTTTTTATCTAACTGTTAGTCAAGCTTTAACGTCGCCTTATATCAACATACCCTAAAGCCTAAAAGGGAAAAAAAATCTAACTCGAGGCCCTATCGTCTGGGGGAGACAAGGTGATTAGCATAGCTATACCCCACACTTCTTTAGGTCAAAAATTAAAGGTTAAGATAGGTCGGGACCTATCTTTCATGTCAGCACCAATGCCACATTTCTAGCCAAAAGATTACAGGTGAAAATGTTATCCTCTCTTTCTAAAAACCCTAAGGCTATGGTGCTAAAACCTAGCTAAAAAAAAACCCATAAGGTTGGAATTTGCTCTGACAGATGATCCTATCTCCAACCTTGATGTTGTTAAAAGGTTTTGCAAGGTCACGATTTCTTCTCTTGTAAGTATCTTTTGACTTTAACTCAATTTTTTCTTACTATTTTTGTTTTTATTTTTTTATGTCCAAGGTCTTTTCGTGCAGTCTAAAAAAATTTCTCACCTTAGCCCATGAAGAATAACAACTAAGCCTCCTATTACGTTTATCTTGCAATAAGACATATATTGAGGGCTAAAAAAGATATGGTTACCCTTATTGAAGAGTATAAGAAAAGCTTGGAGGCATTGGGCAATGTTAGATCGAACCTCATTGCATCCTATAAAAAACATAAAACTAAAGAGAAAAGTAGATGACCTAATAGCAAAGCTAAAGATCGTCTCAATGGACAAAACTTAAGTCAAATTGATAAAAGAACAGGTTGAACTGAAACTAAATGATGCTCAGATTAAAATTTTAAGTCTAAGATTTGAGTTAAAGGCTTGGGATAAGAAAGAGGATGAGCTACAAGTGAAGGTTATGAATAAGTATAAGGCATTCGATGAGTGTCTCTGGATGAAGGTAGAATTCTTAAGAAAAATTATACTTGGTGCCTTTCAATTGGCCAAAAAAGAGATACAGTTTAAATTCTTTACTTTCAATCTTGACCTTTCTGATATTGATATTAACAATATTATATTGAGACTTATTTTAAATTAGCTTGAAAAAGATAAGGAAAAAAAAAAGAAAAATAGATAAGGCCTCAAAAAAAGAGCTAGAGGTCGTTATAGGGATAGTGGAGAAAGACATTAAGGTCATTGAAACTGAGGTTGTTCCTTCCACTGTGCTGGATAAGAGTATTCCTTCCACTGCTGTTGCTGATGAATGAATTTGATATTTTGTTTTTGTTTTTGATTTTGTAAACTTTTTAACTTTGAGGTTAGATTTTTGGAAAGACCTCAAATACTTTAATAGATATACTTAGTTACACTGAAATGGAAAAGAAAGTTTTCTAAGTTTCAACTTAGTTTTACTGTTGTTTTTTTTTTTTTTTTTTGCATTAGTTTGAGAATAGTTTACCAATCCAAAA